CTTCTATAATATGCCTCCCGTAAATCCAGCTTTGTAAAAATCTTTCCTTTGCCTAGGTGGGCTAACATGTCCTTCATGAGTGGCCGGGGGTAGACATTTTCTACGCAAATCATGTTTAAATTTCTATAATCGACCATCAGATGAAAAGACCCATCCTTCTTCTGGAATAGTACTGGTGCTGCCACCCGCGGCCTAACATGGATAAAACCGCGTTTTAAGTTTGTCAATAAAGTCTCATAGTTCCCCCAGCTCCCGAGGGTCATGGGGTAGATTTTTGGTTTAGGGAGTTTTACCCCAGGGAGGATTTCAATGGTACAGTCCGTTGGCCGGTGGGGGGAACAATACATCTGACGCCCTTTCACTGAACACCTCCCATAGGTCCTGGTACTCTTTTGGGATCCTTTCTTCCCCCATAATGTCTGCCGCAGTTGCGGCCCCTTTGCTCGCCCCTTCAGTCATGATGCAATGGGGTTCCTCCCCTCTCTTCCCTGGTTGCTTGGAGCGGATGCGCAACACACCTGTTTTCCAGTTTATGTGTGGGTTCCATTTTCGGAACCAGGACAACCCAACTAGGAGGGGCTGTTCCATGCCCGGGGCCACAATAAAACTCAGAGTCTCTAGGTGATTCCCCCATCCTCATCTTGATTGGTTTGGCCACAAAATGGGCTGCTCCCCAGCCATCGATCCATCTAGCTGACAGAATGCGATAGGCCTTTTCATCGTTTTTAGTCTTAGACCCATCTGTTTTACGATGTCCAGTCTGATGACACATCTGGTGCATCCCGAATCTAGAAGGGCTAGCATCTACCCATGAGCCCTGGTGGATGGTACTTTTAGTTCTACCGGGATGTTATAGGAAAAAAAAACCACAGGACCAGACCAAGCCCTTCAATGCAGGAAAGATTTATTATGCATAAGGTTCAAACAGCAGTTACACAGCAAATTGTCTGAACCCCGAAGGGTGTACAGAGGCGTTACTTATATACTTTTAAACTACGTAGATAATTGTCGAGGGTGCATTAAGACATATTTGGTCTTAGAGGAAATGAAAAATGTTTAGTCCAGACATTTAGCAATAGATATCAAGAAAGAGGAAATAATACAAATGTATTGGAGTGTAATTATACATAGCACACATTTGAAATTAAATGCAGAAGTCAGCAGAAGTCAGCAACAGGATGCATCTGTCTGGGTCAGTCTGCTCTTTTCAGATAAAAATACTCTCTGTCATCTCAGCAACTCCTTACTGGCAAAAAGCAAATATGTAACCTTGACCAAAGTTTCAGGCCTATATATTGAGGCTTTGGGATTTGACCAAAGAATTCTCAATTACCTGAACCTTTAACCTCTTCACTCCCCCCTACGTGACTCATCTGACACGTCCAGAAGAGTCACGTACTCAGACTCTCCGGGCTGACTAGGTCTGAGGTCTTGATAATTCCACATGGCCATTACCTGAGCCGTTGCTCTTCTTTCCACCAATAAGGACAGACTGTTAGAGATAATTTTGACAAAAATGGGTAGAATACATGGGAGTATAACACAACCTGCAGCTATTAGTCCTATTAAGCCTACAATTGCTTGTAATCCAGGTAGCTTTGGCCACCACCCGGAGAACATGTCTCGCAGATTTAATCCTGTCCAGGTTTGTACAGGTACATGAGCTATCTTAACCATCTTATCTGTGATTTCTTTTATGACCTTACCACTTTCATCTATTTCAATACAACAATTGGTCAGATTAAATTTTCCACACACTCCACCCTCCTTAGCAAGCAAATAATCTAAGGCCAATCTATTTTGCATAATATAAGTCCTTGACTTCACACTTTCCCTAGCTAATTGGGTTAGGCCTTTTACTGTCTCGTTGGTAATTATTTCAACCACTGCCTGTAAACGGATCAGCCTGTTCAGGATATATATAGGAGTTCTATACCCATACAAACCATCCTCTGCCCAGGTTGCTGGTCCATAAACTTGTATAATCCGTTCAGCAGGCCATTCCTCCTTGTCCCACCTAGGTTGATTGCCACCCACTTTAACTTTTCCAATGAGAGATGTATCTACATGTCTCCTTTGCCTGTTCAAGTTTCCCACTTCGTCATACACAGGGACTCCCAGAATCTGTCTAGTTTTCAAAGGTAAAAGAAAGAATCCAGGTCTGATTATTCCTAATACACATGCTCCACACCAATTCTTAGGTAGATATCTGTATGCCATCTTACCACAAATCCAATATAGTCCATCGGGAGCCAGCCATCCGAGGGTCTGATTATCTGGATCGTTCAGAAATGTCAAGCCAGCAACTTTAAACAGGGCTAGCTCATCAACACCCTCTGTGACATTGTTACCCGACCACCATATCTTACTTTCCCACTTTCCAATGCATATTAAGTTTCCAACTTCTTTGCATCCTTTTATAATCTTACGTTTAAAACATACGTTACCTACCAAATTAGTGGTAAGTGTCCAATCTCCATCTTTCCCTTTAGTGTATGACAAATTACCTTTCTGATCCATTTCTAATACCTTTGAATAGTTTAACTCCTGAGCCTCCCATGGCCACTTTTCTCCCATATTAGTTCCTCCACAAATAAAACAATTAGAGACATTTAAGGTACGTGCTATATCTTCGGCTAACTTAACAAAGGTATTAGTTACATATTTGGGGATTTCGGGGATGTTGAGTTTTTCCATTTCTAAATAGAATGACCAAAATAATCCTTTCGTATCCTGTAATTTTCTAGTAGTTTTGGTAACTTTCCAGCTGAGTGTGACATGAGGATCTGCCCCTTTACCATAGATTCCTAGTCCATACCTCACATCCCAAGTTCTAGTAGGGGTGCAGGTAAGCTTAACAGGATTGCACCCATTCCTTTGACAATTAGAGGATGCTACTCCCACTTCCAATTTACATTTCTGATTTCCTACATGGGGGTCCCCGGACCACATGGTTACACATGACCAATAGGGACAATAGCTATAAGTGTTTTGATCATGACACTCACCCTGATTATAACACATATACTTTTTATTTAACATATAACTCCTTTCCCATTCTAAGCTCCCACAAGTGGCCTTCCAGGAATTCCGATTAATGGCCATACAAGCATCAAAGGATAACTCAACTGGCTTGCCCAAAGACCGGAACTCTGTCTTATTTAACAATTCCTCCCTACCACACTCAGTAGTATATATTGACATTTCATATGTGATAATTACTTTAGCCTCTATGGGATTGTAACATTGCACCTTACCATTTAATACACACATATGATATACTGTTGTGTTGACCTGACAAGTGGGCGGAGTATAAGGTGTACATTCGTCAGGCTTGTAAGTATGGTATACCAGGGTATTGGAGATTAAAGTGCCCTGGATTGTAGTTTTTATACAAGGGCTGCATTGTTCCTTATCTATGGTCTTTACTGTACCCCGTGGTTTCGCCACCGGTGAAGCTATTACTGAAACCCCTGCAGCTGTACTAAGTGAGGCTGGTCGTGTGCGCAATGTGGGTGTTAGGGTGGTGGTTGTTCCCTTACCTCTCCGTTTAGGGTCATAACAGAGTACCCCTTCTGTCCCATTACAGCGGTAAACAACCATTGGGCGATCGGAGCCAAAAACACATGTGGTTAGGTCAAACCATTTACAGGAGTTCGGTATCCCCGATGTCATCCGGATAGCTGTGCCATCCTCACTAAGACACGGCACACACGGTCCTCTTCCTAACCGTTCCTCAAGTCCCCTGGTTTTCCTCGGTTTCCCTTTTACCTGCCTGGACCGTGTTGCTCCGAATTCAAAAGCTTCTATTTTCAGTATACATGTTCCTTGCCACCCAGGTTTTAACTGTGTAGGGGATAGGACACGTTCCCATCCCCAATATCTGGGGGGCCCACAGTCCAGGGTTAAGGAGGATGTCCCTCCTTTGTAAGGGGCAGTAACACAAATCCCTTTTCGCAAAACATAACCCACATACTGACATACCTTTTGATTGGTGTAACCTCGGGCTTGACAAGTAATCATTGCTATCTTATCAAATATCCTAGGAGTAGTACAAGGATGTGGTAGAACACCATTCCAGCAATCAGGGGTGAACGCAATGGGTGGTGTTCCATCGCAAGCCCCGCTACCAATGTCATATGACTTTATTATGCGTGGTTGTTCTTCCGGATTACTCCACAACCCCGAGTTACTAACGCAGACCGAATTGCTTTGAACTCCAATCAACAACAAGTTCATCCATACCCATTCAAATCCAAACCTTCCAGCCATCCTTAGTCCACCTCCAGATTTTATAAGCATACTTATCTGCTTCCAGGTTTTCTAATTCCACTCTTTGGGCGTCTCGCAGTACTGCCTGTATTGTAGGGGTAGGTTTAAGAGTGTAATAGGAAGGTTCCCCTACACAAATCACCAAATATTGCAAGAGCACGTCTTCTATGATCACTATATCACACTCATCATTACAATGTATACAAAGAACACAGTCAATACAATGTGCACAGCAACAACATCCACACTTACGTGAGCAAAACCAACACATACAATAAGCAAAAGAGATTGAATACACAGCAAAGAAATAAATAAAAACGTCTTCATCCAATCTTCCCCCGTGCGTAGAAAGTCAGCTTCCGGTGTGACTTAGCAAGGGTTTCTTCCTTCCTTGAGAAATTCCTGCCATGTAATCAGTTCTGGCAGAGGAATAGACTGGGCGAAGAGAACGGAGTGAGACAAACGAACCGGTGGATTAAGGGTTTCTCCACACAATCGCAGTCTATACTGATAGAATATAAAAGGAACAAATAATAAAACAGCAACGATCCACAATCCCCACATCCAAGTCTCCCACATGAAGTGAGGCCAATCTTCAGCCGTGCGCTGAGAAGCAGCTTCCGGTGTGCTCCGGCAGGGCAAGACGTCTCTTTCTTCTTACAACCACTCAGCCATACCTGGATACAGCATACACTCCAAATAACCTATATACATATGTGAGACATTGTTTAGTTGCGTCTAAAGGTAAGCTTGGTTGGATTTTTCGGGTCCATGGACACTCTCCAGCTCTTGTCTGCTGCCGCTTTTACCCGTGTCCAATGGATCCATGATTTGGATTCTGCAATCTTAACAGCGAGAGGGGAAGACATGACAATGGTGAAAGGTCCCTTCCATCTCCCCTCTAGCTGTTCTTTCTTCCAATGTTTAACTCACACTCGATCTCCAGGTTTAAAGGGATGACAGCGAGTTACCAGTCTGGGGGGTACCTGTTCCATCACATATTGTTGTAATCTTTCAACCTGTTTACTTAGCTCCTGCACCATTTCCATACTCCAAACACCCCCCTTATGGCCCAAATCCGGCCATCCCGCTAGATGTCGCCGCAAAAGGTTTGGAGGTCGCCCAAACATCAATTCATAGGGAGACAACTTGTGTTGTCCTCTTGGAGAGCTTCGAATTGCATACAAAGCTAGTGGTAAAGCATCAGGCCATTTCAAATGACTTTCAGTACAAATCTTAGTAATTCTTTCTTTCAGGGTTCTATTCAATCTCTCAATAGCGCTTCCTGATTGTGGATGAAAAGAACTGTGAAATCTCCACCGAATCCCTACAGCTTGAGTTACTGCCTGATTAACATGATGAACAAACTCAGGACCATTATCAGAGGAAATATTGGTAGGCATCCCGAACCTGGGTATAATCTCTTTAAGCAATAGCCGTGCCACTTCTCTCGCCTGTTTAGTTTTCGTAGGAAATGCCTCTGGCCATCCAGTATACATATCCACAATAACCAACATAGCCTTAAACAGTCCACATCTTGGCATGTCAGTAAAATCAATCATGATGTAATCCATAGGAATGTATGCACGTGGTATTGCTCCGGGGGGCAATAAGGGTCCTTGTCTAGGATTAACTTTTGCACAGGTAATGCACCTGGACACCACCCCCGCAGCAATACCAGTTAGGCCATCAATGTAATAATCTCTTTTTAAAGCAGCTTCCAGAGCTGTTTTTCCCATATGAGTAGTTCCATGGGCTAATTGTGCCAAAGTCCAGGCTACAGACGACGGCACATACACTCTCTGGTCTGGTAACACATACCATCCACTTTCCACCATAGCCTGTAAATCAGTTACTGCTTTTACACTCTCTTGCTGTGTATAGGTAGGTTTTATTTCAGGTGGTATCACTCCCATATCCATGGCTACACATATTGATAAATCGGGGGTTGGCCCGTGGCGCTTGGCCGCTTCCCTTGCTTCTAAGTCTGCCGCCCTATTTCCCATGGTTATCCTATCATCTCCTCTTTGGTGTCCTCTACAATGCATCACTGCCACTTTCTTTGGCCTCTGTACAGCATCAAGTAAACGACTTATCAAATGCCCATGTAAAATGTATTTTCCAGCTGAATCTCTAAATCCTCTTTCTTTATACACTGCTCCATGAGCATGCAAAGTTAGAAAAGCATATTTGCTGTCAGTCCACACATTTAAAGTTTCGTCCGATGCCAGTTCCAATGCTCTTATTAAGGCCCACAACTCCGCTACTTGCGCACTATGTCCTTTTCCCAAAGGACCACACTCTACCACCCTGTCATCATCCACTATTGCATATCCAGACACTCTATTTCCTTCTATCATGTAACTAGATCCATCTGTATACCAGTTAAGCTGGGCATCTGGCAAAGGGATATCAGTTAAATCAGCTTGACTAGCATACACTTTCTCAAGCACTTGCAAACAATCATGCACCGGCTCTGCCTCAGTTGGTAATAGAGTAGCCGGATTCAATCTATTTGAAACAACTAGTCGCACCTGAGGGTTCTCGATCATAATAGCTTGATATTTTGCCAACCGTTGTCCACTTATCCACAGATGTCCTTTTGCGTCTAACACTGATTGCACTGCATGAGGAGTGTGCACATTTATAGGACAAGAAAAAGTAAGCTTATTACAATCTTGTATTAGTTCCGCAATAGCAGCTAACACTTTGAGACAATGAGGCCAGCCCTTTGCAACTCCATCTAGTTGTTTAGAAAGATAAGCCACCGGTTGCTGCCAACTCCCAAGCGGTTGGGTCAATACCCCCAAAGTGATATTTTTGTTAGTATCTACATATAAATTGAAAGGCTTCTGCAAATTTGGCAAAGCTAATGCAGGAGCTTGTGTCAAAGCTTCCTTAATGTCTCGGAATGCTTTCTTTTGTTCTCCTCCCCATTCCAACGGCTCAATGTTCGCCCCCCTTGTTGCAACATTCAAAGGGGCGGCCATTAAAGCAAAATTTGGAATCCAAATCCGACAAAAGCTTGCTAATCCCAGGAAGCTTCGCAGCTGTCTCTTCGTCTTTGGCTCTGCTAGAGCCAAAATTGCTTGTTTTCTCTCTGGCCCCAGCGCTCTTTGTCCTCGTTCAATATCGTACCCTAAATACCTCACATGCCGTTGCACCAACTGGGCCTTTTTCCGGGAAACTCTATATCCACATTTCAACAACAGTTCTAATAATGCCTTGGTGTTTTCCCAACAAGTATTTTCATCCTGTCCTGTTACAAGCACATCATCTACATATGCAAGATAGTATCTCCCTGTTGGCATGGCACATAGTATTGCAAATCTTTGGCTAAAGCTGTTCCAAACAAGGTAGGGGAGTTTTTAAATCCTTGAGGAAGTCTAGTCCATGTATATTGAGATTTAGTTCCATTTCTGGGGTGTTCCCACTCAAAGGCAAACAAAGGCTGACTAACTGGATGAATAGGTATCGTAAAGAAAGCATCTTTCAAGTCTATAACGGAAAACCAAGCAGCTCGGGGTGGAATTAAACTAAGTAGAGTATAGGGGTTCGACACAGAGGGGTGCAAGGTCACTGTCAGGCAGTTTACAGGGCGCAGATCCTGTACGGGCCTAAAGGAGCCATCTGCCTTCTTAATTGGAATTATTGGGGTGTTCCATGGAGACTGAATAGGTACCAACACTCCTGCCTCAAGATATCTCTGGATACTATCATATACAGCACAAACTGCTTCCCTAGACACAGGTCGCTGACCTATACGTACAGGGACAGCGCCTGATTTCAGTTCCACCACTACCGGAAGATGATGAGCTGCAAATCCCGGAGGATTATCTTCAGCCCACAATCTTGGTACATCAAACTCCTGCCATGCATCATCTCTAACCTCTTCCTTTATTTGCCTAACTACCATCAATCGCCACATCTCCTCCGGAGAATGTCTGACTGTCACTCTCTGTTTTCCTGCATCAAAAGAAATAGTTGCTCCTAATTTACCAAGCAGATCCCTGCCCAGTAATGGGAGCGGACACTCAGGAATATAGAGGAACTCATGCTCTAATTTGGTTCCTTTAAAATCACATGATACAGGTTTCAAAACTGGATGCCTCAAAACGGCTCCTGATACTCCCTGAACCTGAACTGTATAAGGTCCAGGTGCTGCTATTGGTTTATTTACAACTGATGTTCCTGCTCCTGTATCGACTAAAAAGGTTGTCTGTTGGCCCCCAACATCCACTGTAACCAATGGCTCGGATGGGGCCTCCTCCAAGCCTGGTCCCCGTCAGTCCATCCAATCAGTGTCGGCCAACCCCACAGTCTCTGGTATTTCTCGAAGCCTGTTAGGATTTCCAAAACCTCTATTCATTCTCCTATTACCTCGCCGTCCACGAAATCCACCTCTTCCCATAAACTGACCATCTTCCTGACTTCCTCGATTTCTTTCAGGTGACTGTACCCTTCCACCCCCTCTCCAGAAGTTCCTGGCTTCACCCCTACCTCTCATCATACGCCTTGGACATTCTCTCTGCCAGTGTCCCTCACCTTTACAATAGGCGCACTGGTTCGGTCCCAAGGACACTCCTCCTTGCAAAGCCACCGCTAATAACTCGGCCTTCTTCTGCATTTTAACTCTAGCCTGCTCCTCCTTTTCCTTCTTCTCCACCTTATCTCTATTAACATACACTTTCCTCGCTATCTCCAACAACTCACTCGTATTCTTCCCTAAAGCTCCTTCCTGTTTCTGCAATTTCCGTCTAATATCGTCATGACTCTGAGCTATAAACCTTTAATTCAAAATCCTTACATTCTCTGGCAACCTAGGGTCCACCTGTGTGTACAACTCATAGGCCTCAACTAACCTCTGCAAGAAACTCTCAGGACTCTCATCCGCCCCCTGTGTTATTAACGAGGGTTTAGACATATTTACTGGGGGTCTCCCTGCCACTCTCAAAGCTCTTACTACCACATTCCTGTACTCTGCTAAACGAGTGAAATCATCGGGCACCCGAGGGTTCCACCCTGGATCCACCTCTGGCACTCGTAATGGTAACTCCCTAGCAAAATCAGCATCACCTTGGAACGCTTCCCTAACTCCCTTCCTCATGGCCAACTTCCATTTTTCCTTTTCCTCAGGGGTTAGTAAGACATTCAGTAACTGTTGTATATCATTCCACGTAGGGTTATGGGTCTGCATAATGGTTTGAAAAAGGTCCGCCATCTCAGTAGGTTTAGCAGAAAGGGGTCCATAATGTTGTTTCCAATTTAACAAATCAGTAGTAGAAAATGGTACGTATTGAAACATAGGATGTATCGCCACGTCACCTTGGGCATTCACAACTGGCTGATCAATCTGCCTCAAGGGAGCCACCAATTCTGCCTCAGCAGCTCTAGCCCTTGCCTCTGCCTCCGCTAAAGCAGCAGCCTTTGCAGCGCGGGTCTGTACTCCTTCAACTACACCCCCAGCAGCTCCTCGAGCCTCTTCCCCTTCAGCCTGCTCACTTTCCTCCACCGACGGGCTTGTTTTTACCTTCGGGCGTACAACATCCTGCATGTCTCCCCTACCTCCACTAGCATCTCCTGCAACAGCCCCCCCAGCGGGTGGCTGATAGGCAGCCCCCCCAGCGGGCAGCTGATACTGCGGTAATGGAGGCGCAGTAGGAAAACAGTCTTCCTCATCCCCGACTAAAATCTTTCGCGTCCGACGCGGTGTGTTCATATATTTACCTTTCCCTTCCTTCATAACACTTTTCCTGCAACATTTCATCTTTGGTCTAGCAACACAGAGTCTCACCATTTCTGCCTGACATTGTAGCAAATCCTCTGCCTGTTCTGTCAACGCATTTACCCACTGGTCAATATATGAAAACTGATCTGGGTACTTTTCTTGATCTTTTGCTATGATACCCCACAGGTCATCTGCTACCTCCTCCCTAAACGAGCCCTCTGGGGGCCACCCAGTTCCCATATTAGGCCACACAGTGGTGCACAAATACTTCAAACGTTCTTTATTCATTTTGGGATATGAGGGGTTCTTAAAATAGCTGTCAAAACCTTTCAACATGCATGCCAACGGTGTTTTGGGCACGCTTTGGGTATTCCCCCCCCATTCTAACACACTGTCACCGACTCTCAGCCCCGGAACTCAACGGCCACTGAAGAGAAATGCGATGACTTAACCACCCCACACAATTACCTCACAGGGACTTCTTTAGGACAGCCGTCCCGAGTCCAGGGGAGGGATCAGGTCCCCTCTTCTGTCTTCAAATGAGACAGGTACCAATCTCTTACATATACTCACCTGAGGTGTCTTCACTTCACACATCCTGGCCAGGAACCACTCACACCTCCTTTCCTACACCACAGGGTTCTTGGACTCGCTCACAGCACCGTCAGCCTCACAGGGAAGTCGCTGCCGCCTCCCGGAAGTCTAAAACTCCCGTGGGCCCTGGAGGATGTTCAGGAGCGGCTGCCGTGGGGGCCTGAAGGGTTGAACGGCCCTCAGCAAAATATTGCCTCAGTCTAAAGTCCCGGCGGAGTCGCCATCTGTTATAGGAAAAAAAAACCACAGGACCAGACCAAGCCCTTCAATGCAGGAAAGATTTATTATGCATAAGGTTCAAACAGCAGTTACACAGCAAATTGTCTGAACCCCGAAGGGGTACTACGTAGATAATTGTCGAGGGTGCATTAAGACATATTTGGTCTTAGAGGAAATGAAAAATGTTTAGTCCAGACATTTAGCAATAGATATCAAGAAAGAGGAAATAATACAAATGTATTGGAGTGTAATTATACATAGCACACATTTGAAATTAAATGCAGAAGTCAGCAGAAGTCAGCAACAGGATGCATCTGTCTGGGTCAGTCTGCTCTTTTCAGATAAAAATACTCTCTGTCATCTCAGCAACTCCTTACTGGCAAAAAGCAAATATGTAACCTTGACCAAAGTTTCAGGCCTATATATTGAGGCTTTGGGATTTGACCAAAGAATTCTCAATTACCTGAACCTTTAACCTCTTCAGGGATGGTCATGGGGCCCCCATTCTGACTTACCAGGAGGTCTTTGTTGGAATCGGTTTCGGTTTCGCTGTCATTGGCGATGGTTGGAGTTCCCAACTCACCCTGTTTCAGGGGAGCGAACTCAATGACGTCTACTCCTTTTAGGGCAGTCTCGTGGGCTCTCACTAGTGCTTTATCAGTTCTCTTTCCTCCGGTAGAGGGCGCCTTGGTTCCAGGCTTGGAGAAGCACTCAATGGCTTGCTGCCCCTCCTTCTCACATTTGAAACAAGTGGAGGATTTTGGTTTTGACCCTGCTGTCCCCATTGCGGTCTTTGGTGCCCCCTTGTGGAATGAGGAAGGTGGTTGATCCCAGGTGCACCCACCATGGAGATGACCTCGGGCCAAGTCGATCTCCACATCTGCTGCCAATACGTACCAGCTCTGCAGATCGTTAGGGGCCCCTCGGGAACGGCAACCCTTGTAGACATCCTCATTTAGCCCATCTTTATAGTTCTCCAGTAGGGCCACCTCTGACCACTCTCTCATGTAGGGTGCCAACTTGCGGAACTCCTGGGTGTACTCCGCCACCGATCTCTGCCCCTGGTGAATGGCCTTCATTCTAATTCTTGCCCTTAGCTTGGCTAATGGGTCCTCAAAATGCATTCTGAGAGCTGCCATGAATTGGTCATAATTCCTCAGCAGGGGGAATTTTCATTCTGGAGCCCCACCATCCACTCAGCTGCTACCCCCTCCAGGGCCTTGGTAACGCACCTCATGCATGCGGCGTCTGAGAGGAAATCCTCCCCCCAGTCCTGCATGTGGTTCCACACTTGGGTCAGAAAAAATCCCAATTTCTTTGGGTCTCCTCCGAATCTTTCTGATATCGGGGGAATTTTTGGCTTACTTTGCCTCTGTGGTGGTGCCTGTCTTGCTGGGGGGCCCTGGGCTGCCGCAGCAGCCGCTTCAGTTCCGGAGGCTTGAGCTGTTCCTTCCCCAGCTTGGCCTCTCTCTTCCCCACAAGCAGCAGCCTCCATTCCACCTCTGGGGCATTCATCCTCCCTCCTGGAGAAGTATGCATACCTTTCCCAGCTTTTTCGGCTCTCTTCAGCCTCTCTCAAAAGTTGCAGGGCCTGTGTGACCAGGAGGTTTTCTTTCTGCTCCTGCAGCCAGCCAGCTTCTCCCCCTTGGCGTCTGGTACTTGTTACACCTTGGGGAGTCTTCTCCAGCTCTGGTAACCTCCCCTCACCCAGCGACCATTTGGCTTTCTCTGGATCTTCCTCCAGTTGTAAATTAGCCATCCAGTCTGATGCCTCCCAGGCAGGCTGTGGTGATGAATTTGCTGAGCCGGCTGCCTCCATCTGTTCCTGGTCGCTGTCCTGGTCAGACATTGTTTGTTCAGCCCCCATGGTAGTTGTCCGGGATGGCTGTTAAGGTTGACCTTGCTTAATGTCAGGTGTGCCTCCTTTCAATACTCAAGAAAGAAAACCCCCAGTCCATTTTCATAGAGAAAGGTACTTTTACTGAGTATGAACTGAATTCAACCAAAAAAAAGCAAGGTCTGAAGCAAAAGGTGTGAAAATTACATATAGAAAGCATCCCCAAAAGCCTTCCCCCAACTGTCCAGCATAAATCATCCAATCCACAATTCCCCCAGGGGTCATGTGTGGTGCAACGTCTGGTGGTGCCATCCTCCTGCTATGCCACAACAGTCGACCTTGAGTTGTTATCAGCTTCAAAGAAACTGCTGAAGGAAAGTTTCTCTCCTCTTCTCCACCAGCTCAATTCCCCCCTCCCAAGAATTTCAATAGCTCCCCCCTCCCCCCCGTTTCATGGCAGCTGAGCAAGCAAGCAATGAGTCCTATTGTGTTGCAGATGATGGCCCATTGACAAGAAATGAGTGAGCTTGGCTGAGGCCTTAATGGCCCATTGACAAAGATGTGGGTGGGGGCAGCAGGAAGCTGCTTTGTCTTTAAAACATGTTTCTCCATTTCTCATCGAGGGAAATATAATATTCTGCCTTTTTAAATATTTCCTGAAATATTTTATTCTTCTAGGAAAGGGGCGAGTGCTAACTTCTTACAATCTCTCCTTTTTTCCCCCAAAATGTGTGAGTTTTGAAACATGTTCTTGGCAAAAAATTAAAATTGATCAGATCAGGGAGGCTTGATGGGTGCTTTTAATTTTTTTCTGGTGCAAAGGGAAGGCATTGATAGAGGCAGCAGAAGAAGGATTCCTTCAGTGGCTCCCAAAAAAGCTTTCAACCATGAAGGTCTAGCAGCCAGGAGAAAAGTTCTAGAAAGAAATTTACAGTATCCAATTTTCCATGCCAATTAATTTCAGATGTCAGTCTGCAGTCCAGACTATTTAGGTTTTTTTTTTAATTACACACAATGAGCCCTGGGACTTCTACTTATGAGACCACCAGTGCAACATATCCTGCTTTACTGGGCAACTGGGCAGCATCATTTGTCAGTCACAGTCAGGGCTTGGGTTTTGGATATCACTTTTCTACTATCTCTTCAAGTGAGGGAATTGCCTGACAGGAATGTCCCTCCCCATGAAATTAGCAGGGAAATGTGACTGCTTGGGCTTTAGTGCCACAGAGAAAAAATCAACCTAGGAGAA